TGTAAGCTGAGAAAATAAGGTGTTCAGTGTATTTAAGTGCTCCGTCACTGAAGTAGATTCTGGCATACGGAGAGTGTACAATTTCCTCTTAAGGAAAATTTTATTGTGCAGCGATGTGGCCTCGTACAATTTGATGAGATGATCCCATATCTCCTTAGCTGTCTTATTCTCCTCGATGCTTGACAATACTTCATCTGTTAATGCTAGATGAAAGTTTGCCATAGCATTCCCGTCCATCTCGTTCCATTTGATGTCATCTGCGAAATCCACCGGCCTTTCATTGATAGCCGCTAGACACCCGTCTTTCCTTAGGACGGCCTTCATCTTCAATTTCCACAATGAGAAATTTCTCCCATTGAATTTTTCAATATCAAATTTCGTTGCCATAGCTTCTTCTACGGATAGCTCCCACTATTTCACTATCTTGAATAGTTCTCTGGAACCTTCAAAGAATGGGTAATAACTTCTTATTTTCTTATGTTGGAGGATCCACCTTTTGGTAGCAACCACAAAAGACAATAAGCAGATATTACACACTCTAATCTAGCTCGGATACCAATTGTTGCGGAAGACGGATATCGGATAAAGCAAAATCGCAACTGATAATTTGAGAAAATAAAAATGAAGATAAAAAGAGACACAAAATTTACGTGGAAAACCCCTAAATAAAATAGGGTAAAAACCACGGGCAACGGTAGAAGAATTTCACTATGAGAAAATAGGAATTACAACCTCTCTCGATCTACCAAGGAGAAAACAATGATAATTCTCTCTCGATAAAAAGGAAAAAACAACTCTCAAGAAACTCTCTAAATTCTCTCTAGTATTGGAAGAAAGCTAGAATGCTTTGGGATGGTTTTGAAGCTAAATGGGATAGGGTATTTATAGCTAAATCTTAAGGACTTAATCTTGTAAATACCCTAAAGTTTAGTGACTATAGTTTGTAATTTATCCATACAAAAAAATAAAAAATTATGCACCTACTTTCGGTGCCTTAATTGCACCGAAAGGTGCTTTGACATTCTACATATTGTTGTTGAGGAATGCTTGGCCCAAGTCATCTATGATTCTTAAAGTTTTTAAGGAACAAGGTCTGGTTTTGACTGCTCTTTTGAGTTTATCTGCCTTCTTCTCGATGGCTGAGACTGCTATAACTACTTTGTGGCCTTGGAAGGTACTTGATGTCTTTGACCTAGGGTTTCATAGTGTTTATATTCATAAATGCTTATTTGTGGTTGTTCAATTATGGAAATCAGAATTCATTTTATTTGGATTATTGTATGTTGGAAAGAATGTAGATGATTTGGTTAGTTTATAAATGGTGTTTTTCTATGTTATACTGACTGGTATCATCTTCGAAATATATGAAAAATTTAGAAATAATACCTTTGAAAAAATGAGCATATCGGAGTTGAACACATACTCGTGTCCAGCACTCACCTGCCCATTGTCTTTCAATTTTCTTTTAAATGACTGTTGTGCAGATTCTTTAGTGACTTGAGAAATTTTGCTTAATATAAGATTAAATTTTGATTAGCGGTGAACATTCGATGGGAATTCCATGTTTTATATTGGTCTGTCATGATTGAATTTGAATGATATCAAACTCTTCTAGATATTAGCTCAGTGATAGTTACTTATAAGAGGAGTCCGATTATTAATGTTGAGCACAAGAGGAAGACATATATAAGCACATTAGAGTGAAAAGGGAGAAAAAAGACGAGTGAAAGTAGGAAAGCAAAAAGAGATAATGATAGAGAAGCAACTTATGGAGTCAGTGAACGGCACCATAAAGTATTTATCATTTCAACTATTAAAACATAAGTCAACATCACTTAGTGATCCAACACTCAAGAACTTTTTTGTTCAGAGAAACCTTTCGAAGTATAAATTGCACTTTGATTTTTAGTTACAGAGGATTAAAATCTCTACTGCAGGTTTCCTTCATTGTATACATGATCAAACCCTTAGGAATTTTTCCTTTCATTGATAATCTGATGTTAATTTGTGTCAGGTACGTGAGCTGGCTGAAAAAAGAGTCTGAAGATGGTGTTTTTAAAATGCTTTCGACTGATGTAACGCGCTTTCTCACAACTATTCTTATCGGCACCACGTACTCTTCTTTTCTTGCCATGACCTTGACCAGTTCCAGTTCCATTTTATTTTTCCAGCTCTAGTATTAAAGTATTTCTTCTTTTGGATGTAATTTCTCTACTCAGGGTGGTCAATATTGGAGCAACTGCTTTAGTTACAGATGCCGCAACAGCAATATTTGGGGAAGCTGGTGTTAGTGCGGCAACTGGAGTAATGACCGTATGTATCAATATCTTGTTCTTAGATTTGGTTTTGGGGTTGCATGTGCGGTATGCATGCCATTTTCTTGTGTTTCTTCTATTTTGATTTTATTAGAGGTCATCAAAATGAGTTGTCGGTCAGTGCATGGATATATAACATATCTACCAATGCAATAAATATCGGTTACCTTTTATCGTATGGTTCTAGGTTGCCATATTGCTTCTCACTGAGATAACTCCAAAGAGTGTAGCTGTTCACAATCCCACAGAAGTTGCCGGATTTGTGGTATGTTTTCCTCCCCTCAAGAAAACATTCATTTGGATATTCAAAATTGACTGATTAATTGTGGTTAAAATATTTGTAGGTCAGGCCAGTGGCATGGCTCTCGGTAATACTATATCCAGTCGGAAGAGTTGTGACATATCTATCAATGGGAATGCTCAAAATTCTTGGTCTAAAAGGAAAGAGGTGAAGAAAATAGTTTCCTGGTTTTAACCTATCTGAATCTTCCAAGTCGCCATGCATTATCAGTTTCGTTTGCAATGGTCTGTCAAATTTTCAACATATGTTATCATTGTGGTTTATGCCTTCTAAACGCCTATGCCTTGTCTCTTTAATTTAGTGTACCGTACGTTACAGAAGATGAATTGAAGTTAATGTTACGTGGGGCAGAGTTGAGTGGAGCAATAGAGGAGGAGCAGGTAACCATATTTATCATGTATATTATAAGTACATACGAATAAGTTTGATTGAGCATTTGATTAGCACATTTTATCAGCAATGGGTGTTTTTCTGTTATCTTCTCTCCTGTTGCAGTAGACCAGTGGGTCTTCAATGAATCCAAAATGAATAGCTCCAGCTTAGCTATCTGGTAAATGCCTATGTACAGGCATGCTGCAGTTATTGTTCTCTATGATCCCTGTTTATACTTGACTATTTGTATAAATCTAAACAAATCATCCATCGGTTCTTCTCTTCGTTTATGGTTCTGGTGCTCTTACTGTCGGAATCCCCTTGCAGGATATGATTGAAAATGTATTAGAGATAAAAGATACCCATGTTAGAGAGGTGATGACACCTCTTGTTGATGTTGTTGCAATCGATGCTAGCTCGACTCTTGTTGAGTTCCACAATTTGTGGTTGACTCATCAATATTCAAGGTAGGTAAGCGTAGTAGTTAGTAATTATTAGTCTTTTGACTGTTTTTCTTTAAAACAAGCAAAGAGATCTGTTGAACTCATTTTTGCAGGGTGCCTGCTTTCGAGCAGCGGATTGACAATATAGTAGGTATTGCATATGCTATGGATCTACTCGATTATGTTCCAAAGGTGAGACAATTTCTGCTCAAAGATTTTTTTTTAATCGATAAGACCTTGCTTGTTCATGTATGCAAACAATAACATAATGTGCAGAATTATAATCTGTTTGATTTTGAAGGGTGAACTGCTAGAAAGTACTACAGTGGGAGATATGGCTCACAAACCTGCATACTTTGTGCCTGGTAATTCTGTTAGTTTCAAGCTTCGAGTTTATGCTTTTGGATTTTACCTTTCTATCTCGGTATTCATTTGGCTAATGGTAGATGGCACTTCGGTTTATTGTCATCATACTTTGACAACACATGCCTATTGATTATATTCTGAGAAGCTGTTACTCACAGTATTCTCTATTTGTTTTGCAGATTCAATGTCAGTCTGGAATCTCCTTAGAGAGTTCCGTATCAGGAAGGTTCACATGGCTGTTGTTCTTAATGAATATGGAGGAACAGTGGGGGTATGCGGTATTCATAATTTTTAATGATTTCCATATTTACATTTCTACTCTCGAATGTTTCTTATCTGTCGGTAGTTTTTGCTAAATGCAATCACTATGTTTTGCATGGCATTATTTGATTTAATGATTTGTATTGCATAACTTAACCGGTTTGCTATACGGAATTAATACGAGATTAATCATGGGAAACCTTTCTGCAGTTTGAAAAGTTGAATGGGCTGCCAAATATTCCTTTTACCTTTGTTAAAAGATTACTTAGCAAACTTAGCAGGCAATGATTAGTACTTAGCAGTGCATTTCTTCTTTTGTCTCTCTTTTTTAATTATTAATTTTGATTTTTATGATGAACAGATAGTCACCTTGGAAGATGTGGTGAGGAGATTGTCGGTGAAATTTTCGACGAAAATGATTCAAAAGTAGGGCTTGCTACGTCTTCGACAACTTCATGAATAAATTAGCTCCTCTGCTATAAACTTTATACACCTAATTCTTTCTATTTATTCCAAATGCTGCTTTTCATTATTCCACAAGTAGGGGATGTTGGTGAAACTTGCTAAAGAAATCCGAAATCAAGACGATTGTTACGCTTCAAATTTTCTGCTCAACGGTTAATATTTTGCTTGGTTCTTATATGTTGTTTCCTGCTATAACAGAAGGAGATCCAGAAGAAAACTGGCTATATCGTAATGCGAGCGGAGGGTATCTTTGATGTTGATGCTAATACTTCTATCGATCAACTTTCCGAAGATCTAAACATCAAAATGCCAGAGGTATATCACTTGTATTACTCATCATATGTGAAGTGTCTGTTTTGTCGATTTATACCTGTATTTTCAACGGATTTTATCGTTTTTTTAGGAACATCAGTACGAGACTGTGTCTGGTTTTGTATGCGAGGCATTCGGTTATATACCGTGGACAGGCGAGAGTGTCAAAGTAGTGCTTGAAAGGGATAACGAAGAAGATGATGATGGGAGCTCCGAAGCTGCATCTGATCGCCAAGATCTGAAGGAAAGGCATCAGATATATAAACTCGAGGTACAGTTCGACCCTTTTCGAGATAGTGCTTGAAAGGGATAACGAATTCTACCGAGTCGGTTCTGCATGCTCCGAAATGAAGGATGGTCAGCTATTTGAGATATAATCTCATGCTGCAATGGATATTCAAAGAAATTGATAAGAGCCTCTGCAGCATTATCCCTCAGCTCCTCCAAGTCATCATGGAACAATTCAAGCAGGCGATGGACCGCTCCTGATTCATTTAGCGCCTCCCAATCTGCCCAATTATAGCTCAACTGAGCAATAGCTCCGGATACTTCTCTTACTTCATCGTTCTGAGAGCCCAAAAGCTCGAGCAGAAGGGGAATTGCACCCTAGTTTCGGATGACGGATACTGAGTGCTTGTAACCCTAAAGATTCCAGAAAACATTAGCAGCTGCAGCTTTTGATTCAGCACCGCCTTACCTAAGGATTCTCACCAAGTTTTCAGCTATTGAAACTGCATTTGCTTCTGCAACAGCTAATACACAGAAAGCATCCTCCGCGATCTCGTGACCGAGTGGGTCAGGTCCTTGAATGAGCTCGGCATACAATGGAATAGCCCCGGCTTTAGCAATCAGGTCAATGATATTAATATTAGCTGAAACCACTCCAAGGGAATTGCCAGCCACAAGCTTTGCAGCACCGTCTCCAACTCGAAGCATTTCCACGAGAACATCTATAACACCCAAATCCACGAGCATACGGTGTGCACGCCTCGTAACACCGAATAACCTGATTGCTTGGCAAGCTCTTTCCCTAGATAACACGTGACCACAACTGGCTGCCTCAACAAGAAATCTAACCCCACCTAAACTAATAAGCCCCCTCCTTGCAACTCTCAACAACGACAATACACTCAAGATCTCCAACAAGTACCGTCTAACGACACCATCTACCGATGAATTCAACATACTAACAACAATCTCCGAACCTCCGTTCGTAGCAACAACGACACGATTCTCGTCATACAAATTCACAAGGCACCAAATGCATTTCAGACAAAGCCTTGGAAAACTAGAATTGATTGGACGTAAACTCGTCATACCTTAAGATCGAACGTAAAGCACCGGATTGGACTATCTCGGTGGCCAATCGACCATCTCCTCGACAAGCAATGCATTTCAAGAAATGGATAACCGGCCCTTGAAGACGAGAACTCGAATTATTAGAACTATCATCGGCAATAAGATTACTAAGAATCGGTATGGTTTGGCGAAGTACACATTCTGGGGCTTGATTCGATAGTTTAGCCAATTTGATTACTGCTTTTATACGCGTGGACTCGGTACCAGAATCAATCACCCTTTCAAAGTGACCCAACGATTCTTCCCAGTTAGGGTTAATCTTTTCTCCGGATTTTTTGCATCAAAATCACGGGGAAAATGAAGAAAAATAATCAGATAGTGAAAATCCAAGATGGGGTTTTTGCATGCAAGAAAATGAATTCAACAGATACATACAGAACATAAGAACACGTTTAAGATGGAAAGGAGAAAGCAGAAAGTACCCTTTTTTATTTTGGAACAGATGATGAAATTTTGAGGGTAAAGGAAGAAATCAAAGAGAGATTCAATTTCCCCCTAAGATTTGTTTATTTGAGATATCATCTATGGCGGTAGGAGGCTAGTGTCTTCAAAGTTCGTGGATTGTTCTTTTCCTTATTTTGTAAAATAATATTAATTAGTTGCACCAAATATCCTCACCTTCATTTTAAATTGATCCCTAAATTTTTAAATATTTTAATTTCATCTCTAAACTATTATTTATCATTCTGAATTAGTCCTCAAACTTTTGAACATTTCAATTTCATCCCCAAACTATGACATTCATTCTAAATTAGTCCCCAAACTTTTTGAAAATTCTGGTTTTATCCCAAACTGTATGTATATACTAATCACATTCATTGTTAATAAAATTGTTAGACCAAGTTATATTATTATATGTTTGAAGAAAAAAAATTAGGTTAAATTATGGTTGAAACTAATTCCATATTTGGATGAATTTGGGAATAAAATTGAAATATTCAAAAGTTTGGGGACCAATTTAGAAAGAGTGTCATAGTTTAGGGATAAAATTAGAATATTCAAAAGTTTAAGGACTAGTTTAGAATGAGTCATAGTTTGAGGATGAAATTGGAATATTCAAAAGTTTAAGTATTAATTTAAAATGAGAATCATAGTTTAGGGACGAATGATGCAATTAACTCAAATAATATTCACTTTGGTTTTATTTCTCAATTTTGATCATTAATATAAGAAAAATAACATTTTGATAATTTATATTATTAATTACAATATTTTAATTATTAATACGTTAAATGTTTTTTTTTGATAGCAAAACATGTTTCTAAAGTAATTTTTTTAAAATTTGAGATGAAATATTAATTTGATCTCTAAATTTTAAATAAAATAATAATTTAATCCATGAATTTGTTCAACGTCGATCACTATCGGCCTCTATCGTCGACAACCGTTGGATCTTTACATTATACAATATGTGCATATGAAAATGTTAAACTCTACAAAACAACCATTTGATAAAAAGATTATATGAATGTATAATGCTTAAAACAAAGAAATTAAATTTTTCAAAGTATATATTACACTTTTTCGTAACCGTACTTCGGGTAGATCCGGAATTCAAAACTATATATTATATATATTTTAGAATAATGTTTTCAAAATTATATATTATATATATTAAATAAACCCCGAACGAAAATACGTGTCTATACACTTAATTTGGTCACCTGCTTATTGGTTCTTGTAATCAACCAAATCTTCAGGTTAACATGTTCCATGTATTCTGAGGGGATTCCCCGGATTAACTACGAATCCGCGACGTCCGGTACACACGAACAGAACCACAATTCGATGAGCCCCTGCGGAATTGAAGTAGTCGGAAGCATTTCAACTAATGTTTTCCATTGAAAGAAGGCCCGAGCTCGGAGACTGTTAACACTGGGAGGTCGAACGGGGCCGTATATGCGGCCGGAATTAGAGTAATCGTCGCACTAAGCTGAGGATGACGATACTAAATTTAGCAACCTCTAAAATTCACCTGTATTTATCATGCTTTTAGCTGGACTTGCCGGTGTATGTGTGTTAACCAATCAACGTAACCACTGGTACCACCCATCTGGTCCTCGAGAAGATTTACGAGCAGCAGCGAACCTTCCCTCGGCTGCTCGCCTTGTCTTACGAGATAAGGAAGCCTATAATGTGAAGGGTCATCCTCTCCTAGGTTCTTCAATATCCTCACCAGCCTTGCTGACATTTCATTATCGTGCTCACTAAAGGTAACCTGATTAGAAAACATAAACAAACAGGCGGTTCAAGTACAGCCTCGTCGACATGGTGCAGCACGTTGAGCATAGGTCGATAAACATGTTAACTTCGAACTTATATTCATGGAGGAAAAAATGAACTCCCGCATAAGGTTCCGAATACGAAAGAACCGGAAAAACGAGCAAATCATACTCCATAGCAGGATGCAGTCATCGGTTGCAGTTGGCATTCATTAACAAGAGAATGTACCTTGGATAATTCTGCTGCAAAATCTGCCCCCAGTAAATTCCTAGCTATATCAGGCGAAAGCATTCTACCGAACCATATAACAAACCGGAAGCCATCGTCGTATAAATATAGGCCTCTTGAATCTAGGCTTTCTGCAACCAAAGGCAATCCCTTCGTATTGTTTTCGGAATCGCCAGATTGAGCGGATGGCTGCAAATACGAGAAGGGATTTTGAGTTTGCATAATCTGTACCTTTATTGAAATTTATTCAAAGGGTCGAAATCTTTCACCTTCAAAAGATACTCATCGATTCGAATCAAGCTAGGATATAAAAGCTTCAACAACCTTTTAACAGGCAGTGCCATCATGGTGAAACCTGCTGAGCAACGTTCATCGAGTCGAGCATCAGCATATCCTCCTTTTAGAGGTACTGATTTAGAGAGTGCTAATCCATACAAACACAAAAACTTCATAGATTCTGGACAAATCATCCTCTCTCCCAAGCGATGCTGCACAGAGTAGAGATTGCGGTACTCTCGGAGCGCTTTTACAATCCTTAGTTGCAAAGAATTTCTAGCATCTTCAAGCTTACTGGTCAAAGTTTTCTCGATTTCTGCAAAACATCAGGGGATAAGAAAATACAAGGACCCTCTTAAACTAAGATCCACCAGAAGAAATAGCATCTCTTGCACAGGGCTTAATCAACTTTACCTAATCTAGAAAACAAGAAACAATGGCACCAGTGTCGGCCTGTCGGTACATCTCCCCTAGATCTGTAACAACAGGGGCAGCTGCCGTATGCACTCTAATGCGCCTCTCTCCGCAGGATGAAGTATATCTTTAAATCGTCAAAGAACTATTAGTACCCCATGTCCTTTCCCAACTTTTAAAGGTAACTCACCAGTTTCAGCAAACGAGAGTATAACCCAATAAATAAACATCAACATTGTAAATCGACCCGCTAAAAGGATACACTAAAGCAACTTGGAAATATACTGTCTGAGTCGTCAGCACTGTCTCCTCGAAAGATAACTGCGCTGCATATGCTTTATCACAATCTAAAGTCGGAAGAGCTAATAAATCTGTGGACTTCAGCATGAAGTTCCCATGATAGGTAGTAAATCGAATTCCTGGTGCAAGTACCAATGAAATGGATCAACTGCTTTGTCATTATAAAGAATCGAGCACCAAACCGAGCTGCATTGGTATTATGGTTTAATAGCATTGAGTTAAAAGTGGATTCAAATAAATAAAGAGAATCAGCAGACCTTTTCCACATCTTATGCGCATAACTGCCTCCCAGGCTGTCTCCCTAGTAAGATCTCTGGCTAATTCATGCCTCAGTTTCTCACCGTCAATACCTGATTGGAAGTTCGGGTAATAATACTTGACCTCCAGTATACTTTGCCAGGGTTCCTACATTGGAATTAAGAAAATAGAGACATGAAGTATCACTAAAAGCTCCTCTGAACTTCAATATCATTTTAAGCCCAAAGACAAAAGGAGGACAGGGATTTTTGTACCTAAGGAAGCCGTGTCGGTGTATTTGTCCCCGAAAGCATAAACATTAACCCCTATCTGAAATTTTGTGAGATCAGCCGCCATTTGCTTGTAGAAGGGATCTTCAGGTAATCGCAATATATGTTCCTTATCAGTTCCATAGACACGAAGATCATCGCCACGCAACTTCAAGCGTCCAACTCCCAGGGAAGGCAATGTGTTCTGGAAAATTAGCAACTTTCCTCCAAGTTGACTCTGCGATAAAGAGCTAATTAAACAACTATTACGTAACGCAGTTGTCAGAAAGAAACTACTAGGTGTCTCCTTGGTGATAAAAGATCAAAATAGCAAAGATGGAGAGAACAACACACCATAACCATGAATGCCGCCTTAACTGCGGGACCAAAAGCAGATTCCACATTCACATTGTCCTGAAACATATACGGCAAGCTATCCAGGAACGTTTCAACCACATTTCTTGATTCAGATAGGTTGACAAGGAGATCATCTGGCAATGGGACAAATATATCATCCAGGTCTGAAACTACCATCATCTGAGGCTGCTCAAGAGATGACTGCTGACAAAAATACCCTAAAGTTGTTTAGGAAGTAATTAGGCTAAAATGGAGAAAATATGAGGCATCTCAGAAGAAATTTTCTACTGATTTCAAAAGCCACTTGCCTTCATGTTGTAAAAATGAATTGTACTGTCAAAAGTAATAAAACCAATCTGTGTTCTGGGGAAGCCAGGCAGCTCATCCAAACACGAACGGATAGTTTGAGCAACAATCTATACATATATGTTGTTAGTCAGCAGAAACCATTGAACATGTGTATATAATGAGAACCATAGAGAAGCATAGCCTATCAAGACACGTTTATTACCACAAAGTCAGAGCAGGAAGTATCAAGACAAAATCATTTATTTAATCAACTATGATCCAGCACAGTGGACAACTGTAAGAGAGAAAAAAAAAAGACTGCTGCAAAACAGATTGTTAGCAATGACAATCAAAAGTCGTAGAAAAATGGCGACACGTGTGTAGGTCTTAGGTCCTATCACTCAACAGGAGTACGTTAAAAAGCTATATATAAACTCTTCAAAGCCCAATAACCAAACAGTTTGGGACTCGTTTTGAAAATCCGGCCGGTTCAATCGGGAATCGTTGCTTAGTTCGGTTCAATCTAAACCGGTTGAACCGCTATTAGTGAACCGGCCAGAACCGTTGAACCGTTCGAACCGGACCGGCTGAAACCGGAAAAAACAGGGAAAAACCGGGATTTTTGTTTTAAAAAAAAAATTAAACCAAACAACGTCGTTTGTTAAACGAGCCAAGTCGAACTCGAGTATTGCTGAGCTCGACTCGAACTTGAAAACTTTAAAAGTAAGCTCAATTCAACTCAAACTCACAAGCTAAAAATTATCAAGTTTAACTCAAACTCGAAATATAATATTGAAACTTGAACTCAAAAAGGCTTGAACTAAAAAAAAAATTAGAAGCTCGATTGAAGCCTAAAATTCGAGCTTGATTGAAGTGAAAGAATAGTTCACTCAATGCTCACCAAAAGGCTCCATGATTTTGAATGCCAAATTACCCATATTATTTATAGAAGTTAGTTGTGATGCGCTTCTATGTTTCTTAGCAATGTGAGATTGTTTTGTTCTCATATTTTTACTCTTTAGACTTTTGGGATGCTCTTCTATGTTTCTTAGCCACGTGAGATTGTTTTAAAAAAAATTAAACCAAACAATATCATTTTGTTATGATTTTTTTAACCCCAAATTTATTTTTTTAATTATAGTTATATAATTATATTTATTATTTAATATGTTTTACCTTAAATATTATGTTGTAGTTAATTTGAATCATTTTGTTTCACTTGATTTTATGGGTTTTAACTTATATATGTTATGACTTGCTTTGAATATGACTTTTGATATAAAAATTATTTTTTATTAAATATTTTTTGGTATTTTTATTTAATTTTTTAAATAATTATGACGTCGTCCGATTCTTCCGACCGGTCGGACCGGTTCGACCGGTTGAACTAGTGAACCGGTAGCATGACCGGTTTGCTAACCGATCCGGTTCTAAAAACCATGGTTTGGGATATTGCTTCTTTGCATTACAAACGACAACAACTTGATAAAAATATCTAAACAAGTCTTACAGCGGTGGACAACCCTGTAATGATGGCAGCAAGGGTAATTCCACAAATTTATGTTTTCTTTACCGATGCAATAACAAGGCAAATTAATCTCAGGCATTTATTTACAGACATGTTTGAAACCACAGCCAGTCCATCTACCACTACCAAACGGAAATAAATATATGATACTCAAACACTAGATAACACAAGCCAGCGTGATATATAAATTGCTTTTTTTTTTAAAGTAACTGTGTTATTGGTGATGTTTGGTGTTGTAACGGGGATAAACGGGAAAAACGGTCTGTTATAGCCGCGATCGACCGTTACCCGTTAAATTGCGGCCGTTATGGGTGTGATTCCGTTTCACACCGATAGCAGGGGCCGCCGATACCGCGATATAACGGCTGTTATACCGTTACACGGCCATTTTTTGAATCCCTGATGTTATGTATGATATGAGACATGGAAGTGGTAGATTACTATGGTTATGGACTTATGGGAAACTGGTTGAAAAAAGTGATTTTTTTTCAGCTTCTAAAATAGTAATTTAGATTGAGTATTTCCAATAAAACAAAGCATCAGAATTTGGATAATGATTTGATAAGTCGGATTGTTAGCTTTACTTAATGTTCTATGTTGCTGCATAGTGCATGTTGAATGCCCCGAGCTTATAACATGTATGTGCGATTTCGATGATTGATAAGTCAGATTGTAGGCTTTCTTTTATGTTCAAGGTTGTTTCATAGTGTATATTGAATGCCCTGAATTTATTTGTTTTGGTGCCAATTCAAGATTAAGCTTAGCCTCTAGTCCCTGAGCTCATTTAGATCATTTCGGTCTGGTTTGGGGCTTTAAATCAACATTAAGATGGAGCTCATTTGTCTGCTTAGATCAGGTCTACACTCTATTTTTGCTTGTCCGCATTTGTTGCAGGTTCGGGATTGATTAAAAAGAAGGGCTTTAAAGGCTCGTTTGTGGAGGCAGGATCTTATGCCAAGGTACGAGAATCTTATTCAAGAATAAGGGGATTAACTCATAGTTCTCCACATTTTAGTGAACAAATCTCTATCTTCTCTTATATCCTTTTTATTTTCCTTCTATAGACTGTAATAACCATTTTTATGTAAAACAATAAAAATATTATTTTAAAAAACGATTATGACTTTAATTTGGAAAAATTGGTGATTTTGGAATTGATTTGAATAAAATAGAAAAGAGTCGCCAACGACCTTTGGGTTAGGTAGGTCGAAACCTAAAAACGTCTTTCAAAACAATTTTAAGAAAAATCATTTTTAAGACTAAATTCGGTCTGCATTACCAAAGATTCATTTAAATGGATTCGGGAGTCGGTTACGTGTGGGGAAGGGTAAGCACCCCCACAACGCCCAAAATTGGTACTGTGTCGCTTACACATTGTTGTAAATGGTGGAAATTACAAATCGAATATAAAGTTAAAATATGATCTATTTATCGAACCTTGATTAATTTGCTTCGAATTAAATAATTAGAGAAAATTCTTTAACTTAAAAAGAAATCTCAAAATTAGCAATCCTCCATCGGGAAAGCTAACTCGAATATTTCTTATCGATTAAAGAATATTCCCTCATTAATAAATATATGAATCAACTATAAATGAAAATCGACGATTTGCATTCGCATACAATGAAATAAATTGATAAAAAAAATCGAATATACATCGTAAAATGAAGATTAATAACTTACATGAAATGAAATAAATTATTATTTAGAGACATTCATTGCAATGTTGAACTTAAAATAAAATTGAATTAATTATAAAAATAAAATCGATTTATTTCAAGTAAACATTTTATTCGAACGTCGTATCGGATTACACCACTTCGATCAAGCGATGTTTTCCACGCCCGTTCTATAAATCATTGTTCTTGAAATTATTCGAATAATATACGATAGAGAAATACAAAGAATAAATATAAATAAAATATGCGAAATAAAATATTTACATTAAATGAAACTAAAACATTATTTACATAATACAAATAACCGAATAATAAGTACAATAAAATCATACATAAATGACTAAAATAAAAATAAGTAAATATCATAAACCAAGATAAAATTATCAAAAGATAAGTATTTGTAATTACAAGGATCATAATGAAGAAAAATAGAAACTTGATGTACTAAAATAGTAAATACAAGAATTTAAGGTACTAAATAACAAATATATCAACTGAATAGGTTAAAAACAGAAGAAACATAAATTTAGGGACTAAAACATTAATTACAAATAAATTAGAGCCAAAGTAGTAAATGTTAAATAATACAGGTACTGAAATGGAAAAAACCCATAAATTATGATAAAGGACTAAAATGAATTAAAAGTAAATATACATGCTACATTCAGGATTTAATACAAAATACAAAGCTGTGACCAAAATAGAATTTTCATAAACAATGAGAACAAAGTCTAACATTAAAAATATATATAATAATAGTCAAGTGACCAAATCGAATACTGTCAACAATTAACAATATAATTCTAAATATTTAATAATATAACAACAAATATAAGGGACTACAATGATACATGAAACAAATAAGGAGGTTAAAGTGGAACACCATCATAAATATCAACATACAGATTAGGACGAAAATGCAACAAGGAATAAACATGAAGTCCAAGTCAAAAGGAAAGGAAAATCCATTAATAGCTAAAACGAAACCTTACAAATGCCAAGGGACTTACAAAGCTATTTATCCCAAATGAGAAAACACGCATTCCCTGAACCCTATTGAACGGCGTCGTTCAGCGTCTGTGATATAAGCCCCTTTGAGGGTTTCCATTAAATCATTTTTTCCTCTCCCTCTGTTGCCTCTCTCGTTCTAAAGGGAAAGAACCATAGAACCCCCTCAAGGCTCACCGCCGTTCGACTCAAATGGCCCCGAAATCTTTCCGTTTTCAACGCGATTTAAGCCCAGTTTAGAACCCCATATATCCTTCCTCACATTCCCCTCGGGTTTGGATGACAGTGGTTACTAAGGGGGAGGTAAGTATTTTCTTTTGATTTTTTTCTCCCTGGTTTTGGTTCGAATGCTTTCTCCTTTTTATGGTTTTTTTTCCGTTCACTCTCTCTGGTTTTCCTCTCCTTTTTCTTTTGTTTTGGTTCCCACCGAATGCCCTTGATATCTCCTCATTCCCTCTCCTTTATTGCATGCTTGATGGATTTGATAAATCCCTCGGGATTTTAGACTTGATTTGCTCTTATATTTTATTGGGATTTTTCTGATTGATATCTGTTTATGTCACTGTTTGATGGATGGGTAGGTCACTATTGATGCATATTTGTTGACGGCAGCGGGGACAAGCGGCGGTAGCAGGGACTGGTGGCGACAATGGCTATCTCTAGGGTTTTAGAAACCCTAGGGAGTTGACACTGGGCCGGTCGGATCCGGATTCTGGGTCGGTTCGGGTTAGCAGTCTGCTGAGTTGGGTCGGGTTGCTGGGTTGGCTTGTAATTTGGGCCTTAGGATTGGCCTACGAAAAAAATGTAATATAAAATTAATAATAATATCAAACAAAATAATAATAATAATAAATAATAATAATAATAATAAATAAAAAAAGACCCGGACAAAAACGAGTGTCTACAGCTGCCCCTCTTTGCACATTCTTGTATTAACAAGAATAGGGCAAAGATGAAAAGACATCACGTTTTTGTCTGGTTCTCTCCCTTTCAAACTTAAAAATTGGATAATGTTGGTTGTTGGGGACGACACTGCTCATACTTGATGAAGAGTTCTGGTCGTCTACAGGTGACAAGGTTCCTACATGATGAGGAAATCTGGTCAAGGGATGACATTGCTCATACATGATGAAGAGTTCTGGTCGGGGAATGACACGGCTCATACGTGATGAAGAGTTCTGGCCATCTAAAGGTGATAACACGGTTCCTACGTGATGAGGACGGCTGGTTATCTATGGTTGACATGGCTCATACGTGATGAGGAGGTCTGGTCAGGGGATGGCACTGCTCATACGTGATGAAGAGTTCTGGCCATCTTTAGGTAGGGCGATAACACGGTTCCTACGTGATGAGGACGGTTGGTTATCTATGGTTGACATGGCTCCTACATGATGAGGAGATCTGGTCAGGGGATGACACGGTTCCTATGTGATGAGGACTACTGGCCATCTCTAGGGATAATGGTTTCAAGGGAGACCAACTCAAAGATGTGTTTCAATAGAAACAAACTCAAAAATTGGATTTTGATAAAAATTGTCTCAAGGGAGACAAAATTCGTTTCAAGAGAAACGATCTCAAAGATATTTGCTTTGTTTCAAGTGAAATAAACTCAAAGATAAGTTTTTCAAAAGCAACTGTCTCGAAAGAGACAAAATTCGTTTCAAAGGAAACAACCCAAAGATGGCATTTAAAGGGAATTGTCTCAAGCGAGACAAAATTTGTCTTTAAGGGAAACGTTCTCAAAGATCGGTGTTTCATGGGAAATTGTCTCAAATGAGACAAAATTCATTTAAAGGGAAACGATCTCAAAGGTGTTTGTTTTGTTTCAAGGGAAACAGATTCAAAGATGGTAAATTTTGTTTTCAAAGAAACAAACTCAAAGATTTTTCTCAAAGAAACTGTCTCGAGAGAAACAAAATTTTGTTTCCAAAGAAAGAGATTCAATGATTTTTTTTTTGATTTTTTTTTTGATTTTTTTTAAACATTGTCATAAGATACAAAACTTTGTTTTTCAGAAAATTGTATCTTAGAGAGACAAAATTTTGTTTCCAAAGAAACAGACTCAGATTTTTCTTCAAAAGAAACTGTTTTAAGGGATAAAACCTTGTTTCCAGAGAAACAAACTCAAAGATGATCTTGTTTTAAGAGAAAATGTTTTAAGAGACAAAATTCGTTTCAAGGGAAACGATTCAAAGATGACATTGAAAGGAAACTGTCTCATGCGAGATAAAATTTGTTTTACTAGAAACGATCTCAAAGGTGGGTATTTTCAAAAGAAGTTGTCTCGAGGGACAAAATTTTGTTTCAAAGGAAACCAACTCAATGATTTTTTTTTCAAAAGAAATTGCCTTTAAGAGATAAAATTTTGTTTCAAAAGAAACAGACTCAAAGATGGATTACATCTTAAGTAAGACCAAATTTGTTTTAAATG